CAAATTAGTCCTAGACTAAAAGCTGTTCTGGATCTCCCTAACAATACATAAAGCCCAGTCTCAAAAAAAAAAAAAGCAAAACAAACAAACAAACAAAAAAACAACAAACCTGATTCCTAACAAAGTAATTGTATAGTAGAATAAAAATCCAACACAATTTGAAGAAATACCAAGAAATTCAGCACCCAAAAACAAAAACACAATATGCAGTACCCACTCGATATTCACCAAGCAGGAAAAGGGGCACATGTGCAAGAGATGATAGAATTAGCGAACATTAGTGTAATAAGGAAAGAAATGGAAGGCATTTTTCATTGGAACTTTTACAGATGAAAAAGTTAGTACTCAAAAAATATATATATATATATATCCTGGATATATATATAAATGGATCCTGGATCATATATATATATATATCCTGGATATGAATAATAGCATATTAGGCACTGTAAAAAGTAAAAAAAAAAAGTGGATTTGAAGACATCCTGTAGAAACTATCAAAAATGAAACATACAGAGAAAATAAAGGCTGGGAAAGAAAAAGTATAAGTGATCTCTGAGATAATCTAAAATGATCTGATATGTGTATAATCAAATTCCAGAGGAAAGCCAAGAGAGAAAAAGAGAGAGAAATATTTGGGGAAAATGGCCAAAAATTACCCAAATTTGGTAAATTCTAGTTTTTTTTAAATCATATCTTTGAGAAAATTGCTTTTTTCTGAAAACTGTACTTGAACAATGATTAAAATTAAAAATAATAAAAAAATTGCATTTTCCAATGATTGACTCTGACAAATAGCCAAACATTTGACTTGGGCAAACAAATATTTCAAAATTCAAAGCCGGTACTGAGAAATTCAACTATTAACTATTTTACAAGGAAGGAAGGGAGGGAGGGAAGGAAATAAAAATAAATAACAGTCATAGAAGGACATTAAGTTGAAATTTCATGTGGTATTTTAGCCTTAATTCTGAATTTCCTTGTTCTCATCGATCTAAATCAGGCCCTAGTGATATTTAATGAGGCTACTTGTAATTCTCATAATAGGCAAACAGAAGGGAGGTTAAAATAATTCTGTTACTTCACAATGATGAAACAGATTGAATATTTCAATTATTCTACTTACTATAGTACACATAGAACAATGCTCTGTAATCTGCTTCGATATATATAGGCTCTTTAACCACACTATGGTGAGACTAATACAGTCAATTTGGTTGAGCTTCTCTCGCTGATTCAGTGTTGGAATAAAGTACTTCACAGATTAGCTTAGTCTGCAGCACTTAAAGGTCAGGATTTATTGTAATGTAAATCACAAAGCAATTTTATCTTGACAGAGATTACATACTGTTACAATATTTCTCGCTGAATCTAGTGATGCGTTTGCTTTTTCTTTGCAACTGCTGTGCAAATTGGACCGTAGCCCAGAAAAGAAAAAGAGATGGCAGGCTGCTTTGGCTTTTTAGAAACAGCTTAATTCTCTTCATTTTTCAAAGTTTCACAAGAAAAAAAAACTCTGAAAATACACATAAAATCATGCATTAATACTTGTAAACTTTTACAGACACTGAGCTTGAATGCACACAGAATCTGTGAATGATCACCTTTCAATTATTTTGATGGGTTTTAGTAAAGAGTATAATTGCTAATGGCTGACCTCTAGTCATTATTCATCCCCAAGTGTCTTGATACATTATCTAAATTGTCTCCACTTTAAGTAAACAAATAAAAACAATAAGTAACATTGATGTTTTTTTTGACAGAAGTCACAAACAAGAAGAAAATGAAACATAAACAAAGTAAGGTGAGGATTAGGAAATCCACTACTGTTGGTGTCTTTGTAGCAAGTATCAAGAGGCAGAAGGATAACATCTTCCCAGTTTTTGTTCCTTTGGCAACTGCACTTGAACTAGAAGAGATTAAGGCCACGTATTAGGAAGATCTTTTTGATCTCAGGGAATTCAATGAGTTACTCAAAGAGCTTAGGAGTCTTTCTTCTTGAAATTCTCAAAACAAGACCAACTAAGTCTCATCTTAAATTTCAAAGGATAAACATGAATAAAATATCCCCTCAAAGTTCAAACCAGTGTATGTATTAAATTTTGGCAAGTTTATTCAATTCTTCATGTATCATTTATACTAATAATGTACAAAAATGGTGGTGAGGCTCAGGACTTACCAGGAAATGTGTTCAAGGTTAATCATCTTCAGCGGCAATTATTCCATTTTTATTGCCCTCACCTGAGCCACAGTTGGGTATTGATCTTTTCTCCAGCAATTCTTGCAAAGCATTTTTCCTGGAATGAAAGGTGATATATTATAACATTGTTCATTCAAATACGGAGTAGCTTATTCTTTCATTCTACTGGCTGTATCCTATCAAGCATGGCTTCCCAAGTACCAGTTATTCCAAGTCAACCCTCCTATGTCTATAATCCAACTGTACTATGATTTACTTAATTGCTTTCTCTAAGTCAATTCATAATTTGATCTAAATAAATTTATTTTAAAACAATTTTTATTTCCAAAATTATAATTTGACATTATCATTGTAAAAAATTAACATTTACTGTATACTACCTCACAATGGTCTCATGTGCTACCTGTTGCCAAGGTAACATGTTTTGGGAAATAGCACTGTGTTGGCCAAAAAAGTCCGTGTGGTGTTGTCATAAAGTAAAAGACACATTTTTCATTTTCACCAATAACTATTAACTTGGATATTTTTAGTGTGTTGGCTATGTCATAAATGGTGAATGTTGATGGTTCTCAATGTCTGTGTTTGTGCACTAACAACTTCAACTGGTCTGCTTCAACCGTGGAGCATTGTCCAGCGAGAAATCTCCAGCACAAAACTTCGCAAACCACTTTCACCCATTCAATCACTCACAGCACCTTCTTCATATACTACACAAATCTTTTTTGTGTGTCTCATTTGTGTTTTTACCTCTCTTGCAATAATAAAACATAATATGACAAATATGTTGTATAATTTCTTCCATCTTCAATATTAAAATGGCTACACAAAAATTCACCAATTTTGCTTAAGTTTTTTTAAATGCACACTGATATGACAGCTGTCACAACACAACACAACAAAATTGTTTCTGATGAAATTAAAGACAACTAAGTGTTACTAGAACCATCTTACAGAAAAAATGACAAAGTTTTTGGCCAACCAGATGTGAGCTGTATGCAGGGTTATAATATGGGCTCAACTTGTATGTGAGCAATACAATGATATCCTTATTCATAAAATGTAGGCATTCCTATCCACAGTAACACATACAAATTAACACAGGTACTCCCTATCTGAAAGTTTCCTCTGTGTAGATTGATCACACATCTTGTTTTGCTTGGACAGTCCCAGTTTGTATTTGTTGTCCTGGACTTCCCTTTTTTGCTCTCAAAACGGATCTGGTTTGGATCATACCCAAAAGGGTAAAGCAAACCAAGGAAACTGGACAGTCAGAATGATTGTAATTGGCCTTACTGTCTGCTAGACAGCAGCTCAGGTCTCCCATACTTATTATCTTATTTAATCTTCACAACTCTGTGAGTTAGGTATTATGTATGAATTATAAATGAGGAATTAGGCTCAGGGAGGTTTAATCACTGAGGGTTCACACAGCTATTACAAAATACAACTAGGACTCATATCAGGTCTCTGTTTTATAACAAGAGGTCTTTTCTAGGAAACTGGGAGATGAGGGGGTCTTGGAAGGAAACCGTGAAGTGTGAGAGGCAGAACTATTTTGAGAAAAAAGCCACTCCCTCCCACAATGGATTTGGAGAGATTAGAGCAAGAATCAGACATATCTGCAATGTTGCCACATTCACTTTTCTTAAGAACCTGTTTTCCTTCAAAACTATAAGAACTGATTACATGCCAGGATTATATAATCAACAGGACTTGTAGGTTAAATGGGCTTTCCTGTTCTCCCTTGAAAATCTAACCAGTCTCTTAATTACAACTTACATTTTATAACTCAGTTTTCTTTTTTGATGCTGGAGAGAAAAAAATGAGATGGAGGAAAAGGAGGCAGTCTGGTGTAGAGACATGAAGGAGAGGGGAGGACACGTAACAAAATAGTCAGCCTGCGTTTTCCTCACGACCTTCCTTCCCTCCTGGCTCTACTGTGCGCTGCCAAACACATCTATCCTCCCAGCTTACGTGAGGGAGGGCCAAAAGCTTTACATTACACCACTGGTTCACACCCTGAGAAACGTCGCATTGGCTGCAAAATACACTTTGAAGCAACTTTCTAAAAGGCACATCTATATTTACCAATGTGTTCCACATGATTAAACTGTGAAAGTTGTCTCCAGTTTGGCAATACCTTAGAGAGATGTGAGGTTTAGGGAGAAAATGCCTGTGAAGTGCCTTAAGTTCCCCAGAAGGAAAGCACGACATACGTCCAAGGTGCTGTTGCACTCCTTGATGCTATATTGGTGCAACAGCAAGTGAAATAGCGTAAGTTATGATGTCACAATGTTGTCATGCAACATCATCCACAGTGAGAGCAAGAAAAACCTGTTTTTAAAATGCCTCTTTTCCCCGCCTCTTCAGCCTGTTAAAGCATATGGTATCCAAAACTAGTTCACAGTGAACTTCATTTCTGCCACTGCTGTAAATGAAGTTTCTTCTCAGGCAGATGTCAGTGCTAAAAGTTTGGTGCTCATAAATACCAAATTTACATAAAATCTATACAGCTTTTTTCAAAAATCTTTCTTGGTTGATGTAGGCTCATTGGCTGGGATACATAGTTTACTTACTTATTGCTGAAACCATAATACGTTTCCAGATCCAGAAACTTGAAAAACAATAATTATGACTGAGCCACAGTGACATTCCTTGAGGTCTCACTATCTGTAAATATCATGTACCAGGTTGAAAGAAAAAGAAAAAGTTAGAAAGTTAACTGAGATTTTTTTGTGGACTGTTAATTTAGTCTGATGGTTCCACACTATTGGTCACCATATATGCAAAAAAGCATCATTTGCTATTCACTTCTGCAGCACATGTACTAAATTTGGAGGGGTACAGAGAGGATTAACATGGCCCCTGCACAAGGATGACATGCAAATTCATGTAGTATTTTTTTAAAAGCCTCATGTGTAGGTGGAATAAGAAATTAATCTTATATGTAATTTACTCCCTAAAAACACCAAAACAGCCTGTTGATAAAGCAAACATGAATTTATTGTTTACAGCAATGAGCGGTGTTACCTCTTGGACAAGAACCTTGGTGGTGTTTCAGAAGAGGAAAGGCAAAGACAGAATATGTTTAAGGTTTGGGATATGGTTTGTGTATTCATTTGGTGTGAGAAGGGAGGCTTGATTGTGATTAGACAAATTTGTGATCTAATAGTTTAGGATTAGTAGACACAGAGAGAGGATGGCTTGAAAAATGGATTTCAATGCAGTTTTTGAAGAGTAAACAGATGTTTGATGCTGCTTTAATTTGAATAATCTAAAATTGGTTTAAGTGGATTATCAGGAAATTTCTGAAATTAACAATAAAGTTATTAGCTACTTTATGCTTCTAAGCTAGAATTTTCTGAAACAGTTCAATCGAGTTGATGAAGACAGTGGGATAATAAAATCACCTTAATGAAACATCTGAATAGTAAAGTCAGGATACTGTAAACCATAAACTGCTGTGGGTGAAAATGGTGCCTCTCAACACAGACAGTTACTAGTGTTACTTGACTTCTGCTGGGAAGGCCCAGGCACCAAGAGCAGGCCCTTTTCTGAGAAAAGGACTCATTTTAAGCTACCAAAATAACCAAGGTTTCCTCTCTGATACCACCTCCCTTTACCTTGTTTCATTGCTGACCACATTCACAGTGATCACATTGAGACTGATCCATTCCTTCTTTAAAAAGTTACTACCTTCTTTAAGATCACTGTGAATTCTTGGCCTCGGGAACAGGATCATTCCTTTCTTTTACATGACTTAACATATCACTATGTAAAAAGCAGAGTTGAACACTTTGAGAATAAACCTCAAGTTCTTTGGAAACACCTGTCACTGAGAGTGCATACATGAACTCTATATGTCAATCACATTAAACTGCTTGCACTTCCAGATTATATTTGGCCCTCTCTTCCCTCACTGGAAGGCCTTGTAAATGCAGTGCTGTGTCTATCTGGAAAGCTCGCCAATATTCCTTCCTTGTTCTTTACACTGATTAATTCCTATTCATGTTAAAGATCCACTCAGATAAAAAAAAATCACTTCCTCACCCTGACTGGTGTGATTTAGTTGGTCAGGCATCATTCTGCAAAGAGAGAGGTCTCCAGTTCAATTCCAAGTGAGGGCACATTCCTGGGTTTCGGATTCAGACTCAGGGCACATTTGAAAGGCAACCAATTAATGTTTCTCTCCCTCTCTTTTTCCCTCCATTCCCCTCTTTCCAAAAATAAATAAATAAAATCTGAACGAAAGAAAGAAATGGAAGGAAGGAAGGAAGGAAGGAAGGAATCACTGCCTCCAGGAAGCCCCTTGCACATAATAAGGAAATGCTCCCCTTAATGCTTTATTAATACTTTGTACTTATTTCCATTATCCTACCCCATCCCCAATAATAAGGTATATATTCATTGTATTGTAATTACCCATTTATTTGCTTACCTTATCTTCCTTATCAGTAGGCAGTTTGAGGACAGGTACTGTGTCTTAGCTTATTTTCTGGGAAATAAGGGTCACTTAAGATATTTTTTAATAGGTAGTGAGTGAATGGATAGATAAAATTTCATGATTGTGGCCAAACATAGAAAGTCATCAAATCCCCCCCCGCAAAAATCATCTGATAGATGCTGAGAAATAAAGAGAAATTGTCAAAGTGTTAATTCTAAATAATACATTAAATTTTACAATAATTAAGTTAAAATTGCACAATCCAGAAAAATAAAAATTTAAAAGTATAAAAATGCATTCCGTCAGTGACACTTTGGGTAAGGCAAGAACTTTTATTCATTGCTGGTACAAACATTCTGGAGGGGAACTTGTCAGTACCTAATAAAACTACTACGTATGGATGTGAAAGTTGGATGGTGAAGAAGGCTGATGGGCAGAAAATGAATTCATTGGAAATACAGTATTGGAGGAGAGCTCTGCAGATGCCCTGGACCACCAGAAAGACAAACAGTGTGCCCTAGAACAAATTAAGCCTGAAGCAACACTGGAGGCAAAAATGACATAACTGGAGCTGTCCTATTTTGGGCATATCATGAGAAAGCAGGGTTCTTTGGAAAAGACAATAACTCTGGGAAAAATAGAAGGTAACAGGAAAAGAGGAAGATGAGATGGACTGACTCCACAAAAGAAGCCACAAGCATGAATCCATAGGAGCTGAGCAGGGCTGCTGAGGGCAGGATGTTGTGGACATCACTCATTCACAGAGTCATCAGGAGACAGAGATAACTCAACTGCATGTAACAACAGCAAAACTATCGATACATACGTTTTTACTTTTGACCCAACTCTTCCACTTCTATTAATTTACCCTGAAGATACATTTACGTCAGTAGAAAAATACATATGCATAAGGCTATTCATTGCAGCAGTTTATAATTGCAAAATATTAGAAACAACTTAAATGCCCATAAATAGAATGGTGATGAATAAACCATGCTACAGCCACAAAAAGAGTTATGCAACAATAGAAGAGAATAAGGAAGATCTCTCTGAACTGACATGGAGACATTTCCAGGATATATGGCTAAGAAAAGAGAGCAAAATGCAAAGGAGTATCATCTTATGGTATCCTGTCATTTGTGTGAGAAAAAGAAAACAAATAAGAAGGTATACATGTATCTCCTCACTTTAACAAACATACATATAGAAAGGATAAACCAGATATTAATGAAATTAGGTACCTATTAGGGGTGGGAACAGAATAGAAGAAATGGAGGAATAAGAACAGAATAGAACAGATGAGGGGAGATATTTCTAAGCCTATCTTCTTATAAAATTTTACTTTCCAGAACAATGACATTACTTCAAATACACAAAATATAAATAACTAAAAGAAACCAGGATTTGGAGAAAACCCAAACTAGAATATAAACAATAATAAATCAGCCTACTTGTATTAGAAAGGAATAAAATGCCCTAGCTGGTTTAGCTCAGTGGATTGAGCGTGGGCTGCGAACCAAAGTGTCTCAGGTTCAATTCCCAGTAAGGGCACATGCTTGGGTTGCAGGCCACGGCCCCCAGCAACCACACATTGATGTTTCTCTCTCTCTCTTTCTCCCTCCCTTCCCTCTCTAAAAATAAATAAATAAAATCTTTAAAAAAAAAGAAAGGAATAAATGTTGCGCGTGGGTCACCGGCTAGCAGTGACCACGGCACACTGTGGATGGCTCGACAATACGCGAGAAAAAACACACATGCACAGAGACAAACCAGTTTCTGTGGGGAAGTAGGGACAGAATGGCCACCCCCCCTAGTGGGGAGCGCCCTGATTTACCGTCCATACCTGCTTTTATTAGGCTCATTTTGCATAATAACTCAGGTAACGTACAATACTCATTAGGGGAAGTAAGGAATATAAAAAACAAAGAACTCTGCCAGTCTATTGAGTTGGGGGTCAAAGAGCTGTAAGGCTGAGGAACAAACTAGCTTCCTCCTAAGACCCTCCTCATTCAACTGAGAGCATTCTTGAACAAAGAAGGTTTCACAGTAATTTACATGTTCTTTCTTAGGCCTGATCACCCCGGGAAATCCGCACTTCCCAGTACCGAGCTGTACTTCCCCGTCATTGTTTCAGGCTTAGGTGGAGCTCGGGAACTAAGGCCACCGAGAGATAAGGAGATTTTCTTCCGGACGCTGAGAACTCAGACTTTGTCAAAGCCGAGGAGTGAGGGTCCATCACCCCCTTTTTGCTGCAGCCCCCCAAGTCCTTCTTTTGGGGGGCCTCCCAAAAGTGATCGTGCCTGGCTTGGGTTGTTCCCCCGTGGGGAATCTTACCCGTCTTTGGCTAACCGACCAAGCTTTTTGGGGGTTCTGGCAGCAGAAACAGCATTCCTGCCAGGGAGATAAGCTTTTGTCTCCTTGCCGGCTCACGGTTCCAAGGGCGTTCCCTTAGCCTTAGCCTAGGCGGGGGTTTCAGTTTTCTGATACCAGTCAGGGCGGTTCCCAACATATCCCCCTTTTTTAGTTTTTTTAAAATCAATTGTGGTCGTTAAGCCTGTGAAACCTACTTTTGCTGTTTTCGAATGCAAATCAGAAGAAAAGCAACATCTACATACATCATAAGGCAATAATAGAAATATAAAGCAGAAACTAAATTCTATGGGTGGTGAATACCTAAATTTCTAAATTCAGTGCAAGAAAACATATTAAGGGAAAAACAAAAGTAATAGGTCTGATTACATTTCAATCTTTGAGAGAAATTACATAGATATCAGGAAAGGCAAATTACAAGGCAGTTTGAGCATAATGCAAGCCTGACTTCTTACGAGAGGATTTCTTAACAGGTGCAGTTCTGCGCACCGACTCATCACCTACTTTCTTACGTGGGTGTTGAGTTTTAATTTTACGCCTGCCAGAGTGGTTTCTCATACCTTCTCCCTTGTTTTCAGTTAGGACTGCTAAGGGTTCCATAAAGGTGGCTACCTGCTGGTCTCTGATACGACCCTGGGAAAACAATTTGCAAATACACCGAAGTACACAAATCAATATCACAATCAGTAAACAACCAGCAGCTCCAAAAACCCAAATTCTCAAATTAATTCCATCAAACCATGTTTTAGGATTCAGCCAATTAATATTTTCATTAAGGGCTCGAAAAAATGTCCTGTTTGGTTAAGCGTTGAATGTCCTGCAGCTGATGATGTAACTCCAACTGCAATTTATCAATTTGTCCTTTTAAGTTAGTGGAGAAAGCTCCCCTCAAGCGATGTTGTATATCAGTCCAAGTATGTTGGCTGGAATTCCACTGTAGCGGTGTGACACACAGTCTGGAGAAACCAGGGTCACAGGTTAGGTGTTGACGAATCACGAGAGCGTCCTGGCGTTCGCCAATCCAGTCCAGTGCTGATTCAACTGCAGAAAGGCGGGTCAGGATCTCCTGATCTATTTGAGCCTGTTGGACT